TAAAATAATGCTCATTTGCCCGATTAATCTGGTGATATTCTGTGCATTGTGCGAATAGCCGTTATCGCCACTAAAATATCCTTCTGTTGTTTTAATCCACGGGTTTCATACACGATACAGTTAGGTTAATTAATCAGATAAACGGCAGGACGTTTAATCATGCTCGGAAATGTGGTTTGTATCGGTCGGTGTGCTGTAGTTTGTCACAAATTGGCAACTGATATACTTTGTAACTGGAATTCGGGACCTGCATCAGCGATTACTGTCAAAACAGGAATTTTCAATTCGCGAACAACAGTCATTAGTTACTAAAATGTATAGTTTACACGGACTTGCCCAGTTAGACCGCTGACATGAGGTGACGCTATCACTAATTTCCGTAACAAACCGACATCCATTTTTTTCTAAAGCCGAAGACCTTTGACGCGCTCCGGTCGAAAATTCCATAAATCTTCGCGAGTAATTTTACTCGTGTTTGCCTGGTTGCCGAACTGCTAAGTTTTTGGGATTCTAATCATACAACGTGCATGTCAACTACAATATCAACCCTGATAGATCGATACTGACCCAGTCCTGTTGATTAGTCCGGTCAAGCCGGCCGCACATAGTGAATTGTTATGCTTGGTGGCTTGCAAAAAGCTTATTTGCTTGCACAATAAAACCGATTTGTCGGAAGAACAAGTCACAGAACGACATATTGCTGAATGCGGACAAGTTGCTAACAACATTCTGTTGAAAAAAAAGCATAAGAGGTAGAAAATCTAAGGCAAAACACCAAAAACATAAGGCTGAAAAACGTACATATTGAAACGGAAGCTGTCAGTGAACAAAAATGTTTCATTAAAACGTCGGTAAGAAATTAGCAGAAAAGTGAATAGTCGGTCAGCGAGTAGCGCGAATTAGCAATAACTGATATTCATTGACGAGAGACGGCGGAGAGATCATACTTGTAAAAAAAACAGACACCGTAGGATCGCTATTTTGAAACTACTGTAGTCACTGCAAAAATGCTAAGGCAAGGGGCACTGCCCTACTCAAGGGGCTTCACTGTATTGTATACAGTGAAGATACCGCGACCAGCGGGAAGATGCGCCCGCCACTCAATCTCCCCGTACAGGAAGCTGAACTTGTCGCCAGTATTCACCGACCCCGAGGTGTAAGAGTAACCCTTGTACTTCTCGCGCCGGCTGAGAAGGTGCAGTATCCCGTTGGACACCTGAACGTTGTCCGGCCGGTAATACTGCAGCTCCATGTTGACTTTCGATCGGGTGTCGGCGACGTTCCAGCGTGTCAAGTCCAGCGCGTCTCCGTCGAAATCATCGCGCATTCTTATTGGCTGTTTGTTGCGGAATCAACGCGCGAATTGCGACGTTGGAATATGCGCAAGCGCGCCGATTCCTTTCCGAAAACCAACTTTCATCTGGCGCACATCAGTGATGCAGGCCACGAAGGAGTGGGCCAGGCCATCCAGCACTATGTCCACCTCCTGGAGATCCCTCTCGCTAACGTCCAGATTTGTTAGTCGATGTTATGGAACATGAGATTAATCACATTATTCACATATACTCTCAGTAGGTAAGTAAGATTATTTTAGATTGCTAGCCGAACGGGTATTTTGTTACTATAGTTTTAAGGGAAGGTACCCGGATACATAGCACCAAACCTGAAGTTTGGTCGTGATCTGAGCACCGAACTTGATGTACACGGACGCGAACTTTCGCTTTTGCACACTTTAAAAAAAATTTTGGCATTGATTTATAACTTTCTGTAGCCAATTTATTTGTATCCGTTCGCGTGAAGGCCGTTTGTGGGCGCAACATCCGGTTGAAGAGTTATGGACGAAATAAAATAACAAAAAGTTTAAATGCGCTGAACCGTGAGGTGCGCACTTACTGTGTTTAACAAATGTCTTACTTTTAATATTGTAGGCCAACTTGCTCTAATTTGGCACGAAAATGCGTATCAGTATCAGTAAAGGTCGCTTGAGCACCAAACTAGAGTTTAACTATTCGTTTTTTAAATTTAAAATTGAATTTTAGTACTTTGAAAAAAATGCTGGATCGTTGGATCGGTGTAAAAACGATCTTCATGCTCATGTGCATTTGCATGCAGAATTTTAGGCAGATCAGTTGATAATGAGACTTCTGGTATGTACACCATTAAGAATTCAAAGTTTTTGCGTTTCGCTCGTATTTCCCCAGTCGAATGAGGCGCCTCTAGCCGGCAGAAAGTTATACGGATCCGGCAGGACGGTTTACACGGCTTCTTTGATCGTAAACCTCTACCTCGTATGCCGGCTACAGGCGCATACAAGCGGTTTTCATGTCAGTGTGTACAAATCATTTGGTTACAGACTACAAAAAAAAATCGAAAAAAATGTTTCAGAGTGCTCGAAAATAAAAGTTGCGCGCATGTACACGCGTTTTATGCTATGTATCCGGTCACTTTATTCACGTTCTGCCTCGTCTACCGAAGCGAGATTTAGTGGTGTGTTGCCATAATAATAATACTCGTAATTCATGATACATATCGTTATAATCCATAACACGTAATAATTCATAATAATCGTAAAATAATCCATAATACATAATCCGTTATGTGCGAATATAAAAGCGTAGCCTTGGTGTTCAGCGAGTTTTCTGTTCTTACCAATGATTCGGTTAATGGACATAGTGCGTTTGTGGAAATGTCACGTATCCCAAGTGGAGGCATGACAAACACTCCGTTGTTAGGAGCTTTAATTGGAAAAGACGAGCACGGAATTGTCCGGAAAGGTATGGCCGCGAGACTGCGTGCGCGTGGTCAGCCGCGACCTACCCAGGTGGCCGTTAAAACAGTACGGAATCCAACCGACCCGGAGCAGAACCGGCAGATCATTAAAGAACTGCAGGTTTTGACGCAGGCCGGGCGACATCTCAATATAACCAACCTCCTCGGCGCTGTATTCAAACGTACACTGTAGGATATGATTTCCTTTTCGCAACCTATTTAAACTGTGAATAACTGAGAATTGTCACAAACACGAAGCGCGCACAGATCAAAGTCATAACGGCTCTTTTGACGGGCCAAAGTTTTTTTGCGAAGAAGACGGAACAAACCAATTTCTATGGCGTGTTCGCAGAGAAAGGTGGCTCAATAATTAAAATTATTATTCAGTTTGCCAGTCGGACGAGAGGTTTGACGGAACGAGAATAATGTCCAGACTAGAGATTTTTTGTGCATCGGCAGCGAATGTATGTAGTAAAAAGACTTAAATCAGTCAGAAGAATCGCACCCGGACACTTGGGAGTGTGACATTTCGCCGCACTCAATCTCGACGCGGGACTTTTTGCCGTGAAGACATTTCGCCGCCGGACATTCGGCCGCTGGGACGCTTCGGTTAGGGACATTATTCTTTGAACCATTTTACTTTTGTGGCATTTCGACGCAAGACATCCGGTCGCAGACAACTCGCCTTGGGACTTTTCGAACGATGCGACGAGTCGCCGCAAAATAATTCACCTCGGTTAATTCTAACTAGTTTTTCACTGTTTTCAGGCTTCTTCCAGTTTCTCTTAGGTTTTTATTCTTTAGGCTTCTTAGGTTTCTTAGGATTCTTAGGTTTCTTAAGTTTCTTAGGCTTCTTAGGTTTCTTAGGTTTCTTAGGTTTCTTAGGTTTCTTAGGTTTTCCTAGGTTTATTCCTTTTCTAAGGTTTCTTAGGTTTCTTAGGTTTCTGAGGTTTTCTTAGGTTTCTTAGGTTTCTTAGGTTTCTTAGGTTTCTTAAGTTTCTTAGGTTTTTTTTAGATTTCTTAAGGTTTCTTATGTTGTTTTCTAAGGTTTCTTTGGTTTCTCAAGTTTCTTAGGTTTCATCGGTTTTCTTCATTTCTTAAGGTTTCTTAGGTTTTTTATTTCGGTTTTTTTTAAGTTTTCCTTTTGTTGACTCTTTTAATTAGATTAGTAAGTCGCTTATCTGATAGGCGAAATGTCGCTTCGGCGAGATATCCTTGCGGCTAAATTTCCTTACTTCGAAACGGCCATGCGACGGAAAGTCTTGCGGGGTAAAGTCCTGCCGACAAAATTTCCTGCGACGAAACGTCGCACTGCAAGATAGCCTTGCGGTGAAATGTCTGCGACCAAAAAGTCCTGCGAGAATTTGTCGGCGGCGGAATGTACACATAGTACACAGCATACGCCATAGCAATAGTGTAGCTTTTAATTCAAGCCATCATGATAGTAATCTTAAGCGCGTTTTCGTTGCTTGTTACGGTATAGCAAATCAATTCTCGTACTGCATATTACCATATCCGCAGGCGAAACATATCTAGTGCTGGAATACTCAGAACACGGTTCTCTCTTAAAATATCTTCGAGGTCACCGTAGCACAGTCGTCCATAATAACCCAGGCCCCAATGTAGTGCGAGCCGACAACGAGGCGGATCATGCTAACCACCAGCAGCAGATCACGTACCATGAGACATCGGCGGCCATACAGGACGCGGACGTGGATCCAGATGTACTGTCGACGCGCGAATTGATTAGCTTCGCCTTCCAGATCAGTCGGGGCATGGCTTACCTAAGCAGTCGCCTCATCATTCACCGTGATCTGGCCGCGCGCACCATTTTGGTCTGTCACGACGGAGTGGTTAAGATCGCCGACTTCGGAATGGCGCGGCGGCTTTCGGAGTATGTCCTTCTGGATGAGCGGGTAAGGGACGTTCAGGAAAATTCTAATGCATAAATAGTAATCTACATCAGTAGCCTGAGAAACTAAAATAACCTAAGAATACCAAAAATCGTTACTGATTTGGATCACGATGAGTGGCTGGCGCGACGCTGGCTGTGACAATCACGACAGAATAATGCAATACAGCAACTATGCAATTAAAAAAAGGCAGTTATTAAAATTCTTTATTGTTTTACTGGTTTTAATGGCACTGTTAATTACCGGTTAATGATATTTTATTAATCTGCCAACGATCGCAGTTGTTCTAGTGTTATATGCGGCCTTTGTGAATTGCGCGGTACGTTACTCTGTAGCACCGATGGTCACATAATCAGCCCTCTGCACTTTGAATTTGGTGTACGAGTACAAAGTTTGTGGCCATGGACTCGTTCTCTGGCTGACGTGTACATGTGTAGCCGTGTACATGTGCACATGTGTACATGTGTAGGCCAACATGTTTGCCGGCTACAGACGTGGAATAACACCGCGTTGAGTACTTAGTGCGCGAGCTTTGTTAATTTTGCTGTTAAGAGACTAACAGAAGAAGAATGCTTGTTTTTGCGAGCACCGACGCCGGAAATTACAGCAGCAAAAAGGAACGCAACGGGAAATTTAAAACAAAAGAACCATCTACGTAAACTTTTAATACTTAAAGCTTTACAAAGGCGCTACAGACACATCATACACCGTTTGCATGAATTATGAGTGAGAACCAAGGGAAGGATCAAATTCCAGCACCCAGTTACCCTTAAATATCGTACCTAGTTTAATGCCGGCATATTGCTGCCTTCTTTACGCGTAACTTCCATTCTTGTCTGTAAAAAAATGTCAATGCGATCTTTTTGGTTGACTTATCAAAGTGTCCCGATTGTTGTCGTTAACCGTTTATCGACGGTCACCGCCCTGCGGTGACCAGGAAGCAAAATTGTTGCAGTGTGAACAGAAGTTTTGCCGTGTGTAAGGCAAATTTGAAATTTCTACAATTTAAATGCACTGTTTGTATGTTTGGATAATTATGTTTTTGGCATTTATATCGGCAATGTTCTTTCGGTGCACCTGTACCGGATGGTTTGGCCATGATAACGAGGACCGCCGTGTCTATCGCCTTGCGGATCCTCGACGAGGATCCGCAGATAAGAGAGATCCGGGAGCCCAGATAAGAGAGAGTAATATAAGGGGAGCCCATATAAGGCAGCATTCGAAGTACAGATACCGCGTTTTCATTAACTGTCGGACGGCAACCGGCTTCCCCGGTTGGTTATACTGTTTACTCAGTCCGAAATCTCCAACGTACAGAGTATGTAACGAGACGTCAGACCAGTTGGGCGTATAGTATATAGAAAACATTTAAATTAGGCCAATATTTGATAGTGTAATTAAGTTTGAAGGACACAAACTTCGGGTTTTCTCATATTTCCGCCACATTCACTACAAGTATACGCATCTTTTAAGCCTGCAACCGAAACTGGTGCACGGTTATTCAATTTGTATTAGTTTTTTTATGGAAACATATTAATGTACAGATACTGTGTAATTTATGCTTGAATGTATATTGTCGTGGTTGCATTAATGTTCAAGCAGGTTATGTATTCCTGGAAACGTCACCTTGTGAAAATTAAAATGCAAAATATTGCTTAGACACATACATGTACATAACATAATTGACCGCAGTCGCGATAACCTAAATCTGCTGCGTTGGCCTGTAAAGGTATGAAGCTTGTAATGTCTTGATTCTTATAGAAAACACGAAGTTAATTTTCCGTTCAGATTAAGAACTCGTACATGTACAGATATGATTATATTAATAAATTACTAGTAGACCCCGCGCAAACTGCGCGGAATAAATCGGCGATAAATTGTTATTTATGGAAAGCTACAAAGTACAAACCCATGACTGCAAATTTAGTTTTATTGAGCGGAGCGTATAAGAATATTAATAATAATATAGTTTGATTAGTTTCATTGGCAGAGACAAACGGTATTTGCACAATACCTGTTTGGTTATGCTTATCATAACTAATGTCGTAAATTATTCTTTATTTTGGGCCTTTGACCATAGTTGACTGACAGATTGGTAGCAGTTAGAATGTATCACAGTTTAATAATTAAATGTTTAAGGCCGTTTTGAGAAAACATTGTCGCGTTCCGCTGACTTGACCCGAAATTAGACCCGAAAAATTAGAAAATTTCCAGGAATATGTCCTTTTTGTTTGCAATTATAAAACAAAGTTTTTAAGCTTCTCGCAAATCAATCAGCAGCATATGCCGGTCAGTTATCAAGAACTACAAATAAAAAAAAGCTCCATAATTACTGAAATTTTTGTAGCCGTATTTCAGTACTTCTACTGGTTCAGATACCATTCGGAGCTTCGTTAAATTTTAGTTAGTGCGTCCCGACAAAACAATCCAGTGATGCGACCGTACGACCACCGATGTCAACCTTTAGACCACTTAGAATAAAAATACTTTCCAGTTTCCTCCAACTGTTTACACACAATTTAAACCTGATGAAGACTTCAAAATTTCGTTGTGTTCTTTGGTGAACTTTTTATTGATTAACGTCGACAACTTAAGCACAGTGTCTTGCTTACGACCCCCGCTGCAGATAGGCGCCGCCTATGATTCCGCTTTCTGTTACGTGCTTATAAAATTTGTTTCAAGTTTGGCAAAAATCTATGCATTTGTATAGTACATCCCCAACGCATTGTCGCCTCCCCAATCCCAACCCCAACCCATCCCAAACCCAACCCATTTAACGCCAACAACATCCCCAACCCATTAAACGCATTGTCGCTTCACGCTTACGTCCTCACAGATGGTTCATTAATGTAGCTTGTCGCACCCAGGCGCACCGGAGAGGGTATTCCCCTAATTTTTTTGTTTTGACCTTTGATGGGAGCTGATCTGACGGAATGCTTTATAGCTGGCGGAAAGATAGATTAGAATGCGGATAAGCTTCGCTTTTTAAATTTTCTGTTTATGTTAAATTGTTGAATGCTAAAAATGCGGTTTTTGTTTTCATAAAACCGTTTTTGTCTACGTTCCTTAGCGGAAAAATATCCCTTCTGAAAAATATTTTTACCTTCTCTACCTTCCCCTGCTGGAGGCTCGCGCTCCTCATTTAGGTCGCCGTGAAAAGATTTGCCTTGGGCCGCTTTCTCCCCCCGGGCGGCGGTTAGACTCGAATCGTAGTGCGTACGCCCGGTGGGACTGGGACTCGCTGTTTTGCTCGAGTAGTCCACATCATTTCCAGTCGAACACCAAAATTCTCAAAATCGACTTTCAGTCTCTCACAAAATGATGTTTATTTGAGATTTGAAAAAAAGGATAAAATATTCCACTTTATTGGCACGGCAGCAAAAGCCAACCGCCCTTTGGAAGCAGTTTTAAATTTTAATTAATACATCTAATCAACCCGTTGCGAAAGGCAACTACTTTATCTTTGGAATTTGGGTCGCTCCCACTTTCCAGGAGATTCTGCATGTTCAGTCTTTAAGAAACATCACTTTCCGAGCCTACATATTTTAAAAACTAACTCTTAATAAAAATCTTTGAACTAAAGGCAGTCCGATAACTAACGGACACCAAAGTTCCATCAAGTGTAGATGTCTTTTTCTGTGCTGTTCGTGCCAGTGGTGGCTTGGGTGGGTTTGCAGTGGTGGGTTCTGCACTTTTCCCGTAGACTTTGTATGTTAAGTTCTTTTAAGATTTTCTCTAAAACTTCACATACTTTCAAAAAACTAACTGGTTTCTGCAAATCTGCAAACTCGCGGCTATTGAATGACATATAGACATCAAAGTTTGGTTCAGTGGATCGCTCAAAAAAGGGTGACAGAAATGGAATTCGCTAAGGCTTATTTTATTAATATATAGGATTGGTATGGGAAAGATCCGTCAGCGAATCGTAGGTCACAATGCGTGTCGGGCAAAAATTATTTCACTAACAGCTGTTGTATAAACTTTTTTCTATGTGACTTTTAATGGGTATCACATGTAAGTACAAAATAAGTACTAAAACAAACGAGATTTAAAGCAAAGTTTTGCATGCTTTGCATTTCAAAGGTTCCCCAGCTTGCGCAGCGCCTGCAAAATTTTATTATTATTTTTTTGGTTATTATTGATTTTACTGAATATCGAACTTCTGGCTTTATTATGCAGTCAGTTTTTTGTTTTGATGTAATAATCTCCTAAAGGCGGCAAATGAGAGTACTGGGCGTTTCGCTGCATTGTAGAGCCGATGGTAACAGAATCAGCCATTTTCCCTTTGAGTGTGATGCGCACGGTTCGTAGACGTTTGCGTTTTTTTCCGGTACCTCTTTGTGCACTACCGGTATAAATGGAAGCTATCGCCCTCTCTTTACCTGTACTCAGGGTTGATCTCAGATTCGAAACGAAGCTATAGCTAGTTACGATACAACAACTCCACCTCGCGAGGTGGCGCATAACGTATCTGTAGGCAATGAGGCATGACCATTGCATACCGCCACCTCGTGTGGTTGAGCAACCGCACCATAGCGGGATTCGCTTCAAATCAGAGACCCACCCAATACCCATCCAGTATGTCAGCTGTGTGATTACGTGGTGTTAGGGTATACAGTGGCGTCGTTAAATAGTAGCCAAAGTAACCTTAATCATCTTTAAACATCTTCAGTTACTTCTAATCAGAGCACGGACATCGCGCTTTTCCAATTTATGCAGTTAGTTGACCAACCCAGTATGCTACATTTTCAGGCTGTCAGTTCTCCTCGATCGCTCTGCGGTACGCATCGTACTGATCATGAGGACGTCCATATGAGTTTCGCCTGGAGAGCGACTACCCTGACTTTCGTTTTGGTTTCAAATATGCCTCTGGCCAGTTTTTATGTATGTTCAAATATGCGCCGCTAGGTTTAAACACGCTATTGGACAACATACAAAGTGTTCGACAGCGTATTTCAATCCAGAGGCCTTATTCACAGGGGATATTCCCACTAAATGCGGAT